AAAAAAAGAAAAAAAGTTGGTATGTTTGGACCAGGAGAAAGAATTAGAATTTGTTTTGTCTCTAACCGGCAATTAGAGACAAAACAAATATCTGAAATATCAGATTTAATTATTAGCTTTAACGCCGTTCGTCACACAATAACAACAACTCATCAGCTTGCTTGTAAGTTGAAGTATACTTTTAGTAGTGCTTGTTAAAGCCAGTGTAAAAGATGTACAAGATATTATATGTAGGGTAGATTTACATATTAATGTCTGTGTGTTTTAACAAGTCAATATAAATTATGTATGAATGAATAAGAACCTGTGAATATTATCACTGCAGGCTGCATTTTGTCTTTCACCGCATGCTTCACTCTTTTGCTTAGTGACTTGCTGTTCCGATTCATTCTCACTTTAGTGTTATTTCAAGACACAGCTGCTATTTTCATCTAATAAACTCCCCAATGAACCAACTGTATGCTGCTTGCCTGGTGCCTGATGGCAAACAGACACTCGTGAATGTAACGGATCAGCTGTTAAAGAGTCTTAGTTTTATGCACTTTGTGAGACCAAAGCCTGAGCTAAAAGAAATCCTGGACTTACTTGTAGTCAGAAGTCATCATGGGCATGAATGTAATGGTAATTTTGGGCTTACTTTTTACTGACTTTTCTAATAATTATTCCATGTACCAGTAACTGCTTTTTTACTGGTTTCTTTGTTCTTCGGAATGATTGCACAGTGTACATCTTCAGTGGCTTTAAAAAAAATGGATTGGAACAAGGGTTGGGTGCACCGGTTTTAATTTATTTTGCATTTTCTCTCATGCAAACAGGGTCAAAATACAAGCTAATACAGATTTTTAAAAAAAAAGAATTTCTTTTTCCTTTTGCTGATATTCAGCAAAAGGAAATATCTTCTGGATGTCAGCCACTTCCTTTGTCTGCTGGTGGTACATACTGCGCCATGGCCTGTCTTTCCATGATGGTTGCTCCTTTTCCTCCTCTTTCTTGGGTTTCTGCTGTCTGAGGACATGGTTGGTTGGAGCCTCCTTTGTATGGGAGCTGTCACTTCTGGGGATCCTTGGGGATCAGGACAGTCCAACCTTCAGTTAGCCATTCTGGGTGTCCCTCATCAAATAGCAGCTGGTTCATCTGTGCTGCCAGATGCTCGCCAAGTGCATTTAGCCAGTAGGTGTGAGCCATGTCAGGGCCTGGTGACAATTCTTCATACTGGAGACACTTTGTTGGATGTCTACTGCTGTGATGGTTACTGGGTCCTGTTCAGTAAGGTTGCTGTGGTCTGTTCTTAGATCAACTATGAAGCCACTGAGCATTACCTTTGAGTTGTGTCCTTCTCCCATATGCTCTTCCAGTGTTGCTCAATCTCCAGCCATGGTGGCGCTATACTCATATTATTCTCCTGCCACTCAGAGTACACCTTGGATGGGTCGGTGGATGGGTCTCCAAGGCCCTAACCCTAACAGCTCATATAGTGCCGAATCACAACAATAGTTGCCTCAAGGCAGGACTGTCCAGCCTTCAGTGAAGGGTCTCTATATTGTAAGAGACCCTACAAAGACCCTTCAATAAAACAAAGAAAACAGAGAAACCCCCCCAAATTATATCACCCCTTATGCAGTCTGGCAGCAGTGAGAAGGAAAAACTCCCTTTAAACAGGAAGAAAGCTTTAGCAGAACCAGGCTCAGGGAGGAGTGGACATCTGGTGCGGCTGTTTGGGGGTGAGTAGATGAAGACAGGACTGAAACAGGCTTCAAAATTGACACTTTCAAGCTTGACTGAAATTTGTAGTTTTCCACATGAACAAGCAAAAAAAAAAAAAAATTAGAGAAAGATTTTATGGTCAGAAGAGACAATTGAGCTACTTGGCCACAATAATAAGGTGTATGCTTGGTTGAGTTTTTCTAACCTAAGAACACTGTACACACTGTCAAGTATGTGGTGGTAGCATCATGGTCTGGGGCTGCTTTGCTGCCAGTGGTGCTGTCACTGTTTTACACAAAGTGGATAGAATAATGAAGAAGGAATACCTCCAAGTTTTTCAACTTCACCTGAAATCAACTAGGTAGTTGAAATGTGGACATATTTGGGTGTTGCAACAAGACAATTATCAAAACTGCTTTATCTGAATGGACAAGACAAGGTTAACCTTGTGCTTCTAGAATGGCCTTCTAGCCAAAGTCCTGACCTCAACCCTATTGAAAATTTGTGGACAGTGCTTAAAATCTGGGTCCATGCCAGGAAACCAATCAATATAAATAAATCTACCAATTCTACCAGAAGGAGTAGTCAAATATACAGCCAGAATCATATCCAAAGCTTGTTGACCTACCTGTGGTCAAGGTGTAACTTGCTAATTTAACCAAATATTAGTGGGTATTTATATATAAACCTGAGCCTACATATATACATTTGAACTGTGTGGATTAGAGAAAATTTCAAAATCAAACTTGTGCACTTAATTTATTTGTTTAAATCATTAAAGAGCTACGCAGCACAGTCATTACACACTGGCAAAAGGAAAGTTCAAATACATCTTTAAAAGCCCCAAATTATCATGACATTCAAGTCCATGATGAGTGCATGACCGCAATGGTATACTTCACACAACCAGAAATATCACTCAAAATAGGTGATATTGTTGCACTGTGTTTGTTAGAAGCATTGTTGTGTCATTTTGCTGTCCCCAAGTTGTTAAATACACCTATTATAGTTACTTTAATTGATCCAAAGGCTGACATTGATTGTTACATCTCTACTCAGAAACATAATTAAAAAGAAAGGCAGCACCATTCACGATTAAGCAATCATTGCTGCTGTTTGGGGGAAAAAAGACAGAAGAAGCCACCTACCAACTCTAACCAGCCCTGACCTCAGTAAGAAATCTTCATCAAACAGGAAACATAAAGAATAAACAATATTTGCTATGGTGTACTGGAATTGCTGAGCATTACTGTACTTCTAAAAACAGGAGGGTGAATTCTTTTAAAGGTTTTTTTTTAAATTGAGGTTGTTAACCTCCTAGGACCTGTCGTCCACATATGTGGACATCCCATTTTGGGTTATTTAGACCAAAATACTCAATTTTGCTCTACATGGCCTGATATCCACTTACGAGGACATTATACTGCTGCTGTTCTATCAAAACTTTAAACGAATATCCTCATATGTGGCACTTATTGTTCTTAAAAACAAAAATAAGGTAAAAACAAAAAATCTGGCAATTCTTTGTTTTTACATTCATCGGGCCCCAATATGCCCAGAAATCAAAGAGAAATTAAAAATGCATGTCGTGGAAGAGTTTGGGTCCTAGGTTAAAGAAAATACCACAACACTTAGCATTGACAGCATTAAATATCTTTGTTTTTAACCGTGTTGTGGTTTCTAACAAGCCTCAGACTGTAAGATCAGATACAAACAAGCCCTGTGGGTGCTTGGCAAGCTGCAGCATTATGTAATATTTTGGCAGTCAATGAATTACTTACATTACACCACTGACGGCTTCCTCAAGGAACTCATCTTCATATCTTTTCGCTGTTCTTTGAAAAGGAAATTGCATATTTATTTTTATGCTTTGCTAGTATGCAAATTTCCCCTTAGTTGCTTTTTGTGGGTGCATGATAAGCCCTGATTTTACATATTTAGATTTAGGGGGATTAAGGGAGGCATGTATACTTTCTCACAGATGGGAAGTCACTATTTCCCACTTAGTGTTAACTTAATTGGAATTAATTTTAGACTTGAAGAGCAGTGTTTTAGCAACCCAGGGAAGTTTCTGTTCTATTATCAAACCTGAATTCTAGCATGTTCATAGCTGATGTAATGCGCTTGATTTTAATTACAGATATAAAGAAAAAGCATTAGAACAGGTTGTGGACCTGTGCTATCATGTATTGATTTGGTGGAATGTTTATAAAAAATAGACACTGTGTCAATTTTAAAGAGGTAAAGGTCTGATAGATACCTGAAAATCACCATGACATTTTAAATCAGAATGCTGTTCGTTTGATAGTGCATTAAAAACTGAAACCTCAGTTCTTTAAAACGCTCTACAGTGTGACTTTCCTTTATTGTAAAAGTTAATTAATATATATAAATATATGGAAAATATTAATATGATTCCATAATATGTATAAAATGAGTTTGGACCCTAATGCCTATTAAAAGATAAATAGTTATTATAGAGCACAAGTACTGTATCACAAAAATGACCTTAAAACTTTATCTGTGAAATTTGAATGCCTTTTTTCACCGAGAAGATTTCTGGCACACTGAAATTGTCATTCTTGCTATGAAAGAAATTACTGAAGTTGTTATCTTCTACAGAACAAAGAAGTGTTCGTCAGGCTGAAAATTGAATTATTAATTTCAATGAGAAGGAAGAGATCATTTTCAAAACCCAGCGGGCTGATTAGATAAAGCTGTGTGGTGTCAGTATAGCTAATAAATGATAGATGTCATGTTATTCTTTTTCCTGGATAAACACTGAAGTATAAAAGAAATCCAGTGACACATAAAAATGTGAGATGTAAAATAATTTTAAGAGCTGAGCGAGCAGCAGCTTTGTTTTGTGTTAGAGGTTGGCCTTATGTGACCTGCACTTTGCGGCGCTTGTTGGTATTAGCGTTGTCTCTTCTTTCCAATTC